GCCCTGCCCCGCCCTGCCCCGCCTGCCCCGCTGCGCCCGCCTGCCCCGCCCTGCCCGCCCTGCCCCGCCCTGCCCCGCCCTTGCCCCGGCGATCCGCCCTGCCCCGCCCTGCCCCGCCCTGCCGGCCTGCCCGCCCTGCCCCGCGCTGCCCCGCCTGCCCGCCCTGCCCGCCGCCCCGCCTGCCCCGCCCTTGGCCTGCCCGCCCTGCCCGCCCTGCCCCGCCGCCCCCCTGCCCGCCCGCCGCCCTGCCCGCCCTGCCCGCCCTTGCCCCGCCCTGCCCCGCCCTGCCCCGCCCGCCCCGCCCGCCCCGCCCTGCCCCGCCGCCCCGCCCTGCCCCGCCTCCGCCCGCCCGCCGCCCGCCCGCCCCGCCGCCCCCGCCGCCCGCCCGCCGCCGCCGCCCGCCCCGCCCGCCCCGCCCGCCCGCCGCCCGCCCGCGCCCGCCCCGCCCGCCCCGGCCCCCCGCCTGCCGGGCCCGCCCTGCTCCGCCCTGCCCCGCCCTGCCCGGCCACCTCCCCGCCCCGCCGCGGAAAAGCGAGCCCTCCCGGCTCCGGGCCTCTCCGGGCTGCTCCGGGCCGGAGACAAATCTCGAAATTTGTTAGCAGAGCCCGCAGCCGAGCGAACGGTGGGGCCTGAGGCTGGAGTTGACACGTGATGTTGCGCGCGGCTCGCAACGAAGTTTAAAGTTCCGCCGCTTCCCGGAAGGAGGGCGCGCGTGGCGGAAGGCCGGCGGCTAGTGCACACTCGGGAATATGTTGCTCGGGGAATTTCAGTTTTGCGAATCGCCTCCCAGCGTGGACTGGAAGGGGGAATCAGAAACTAGCGGTTAATACGTTGCTGGGAGCGTTTTTTAGTTGCGCAGTTAAAAAGTAGAACTATTATGACTGCTTTTAGTTTGGATGTTGTATTTCCTAAATGACACTGTGTTCATAGAAATCTCATTAAATTTGCAACGGTTTGTGTAATTAAAATAATTCCTAGAGGTAATGTGTACCTCGTGAGAAGACGGGATATTTAAACAAAATGTATAATCAAAAGATTTTCAACGTAACATTAATTAGTTGTTTCCCAAAAAATAATAATTTTTCCAATTATAATTAGTTTCAATAAAAAACATCCAGCTGAGACGTCCAACTGGCAGAATTTTTGTTGTTAGTTATCAGGTAAACGAGAGAAAAATAATGCAGGATATTAGAGAAAAATAACGAGAAAACTGTGTGTGTTCTGAGAAGGTTCTGCCAAGGTTTTGTAATATAATGCTTTAATTTTGGAAATCAATGAGTCGTCATATTGTTATTTATTATTTTTAATGTAGCACAAATCACAAACTATATATTTTAAATGAATAAATTATTTGTTTTAAATGCAATTTAAAAAATTAATAGATTCGTTATTATAAAACTGTGCAGAATATTACTAATCGAGAAATTTTATTTTAATAATGTTTACGTTAATAACATTATTTTAATAAGCATATCTCATAATGAAGTTACAAGTTTAATTATTTTCAGACACTCGTGTATGTACTTTAGATAAAAATGAAACACCAGCTCAAGTCTGAATTTATTTCGAAAGAAACATTGTCATATAATTTTATGCAATATAAATGCCCATATTTCATGTTTTCTTGTACTCTCAAGCCTTAGCCTATTTGAATAAACCAAACGTTTGCTTACTTATTAAGCTTTTCGATGTAATTAACCATAAACGTCCGCCTGAATGTCGTTAAGTTTTTATTATCGACTAATTCTAGGGATTTTGTAGTACTTGCTAATCCTCTGGATGTACTCGTTATCAATTGACGGTCATTCGTTTATATTCTTGTTAACTTTATTCCGTCTGTGAGATGCCGCATAGTGCGTCGGTCTTTTCCCTTGTGGAACACCTAGAGTAGCGCGAGAGGCGCGCTGCCACGACACGCTCGCGTAGCCGGCCGCAGTGTGTGAGACGTCAGCAATTGCCCGCGAGGTAGAGCCGCTAGTGTCTCGCGGGGAAAACAAGAAGCTTCGGAGCGCGGGAGCTCGCTCAAATGATTTTTGCGCGGACAACTACTTCTCACCGCCGTCAGTGAGCCTCTTTGCGCGTCGCGACGCCCTGCGACCACTCAGCGTCGCTTCTTCGCTACCACTACCACTACCACTACCACTACCACTACCACTACCACTACTATATTATTATTAATATTATTATTATTATTATATTATTGAAACAATCCTCGAGCCAGATCTGCGTAAACTCTCAGAGAATTCTTTTGTTGCCATCCATTGCTTCATAATTGCAATTACGAAACATGATTCATTGTACGAAAAATAGCACGGAACATGATACCACAGATAAGAGGAAACCTACGAAGGGGAGAGTTGGCATTGGGGCGGAGGTGGCTTAGCGGTGCGGAGGTCGGGGTTCGAGGGCGGGCACGGCGAGCACCTCATCGCGCGAATTTAGACCGCCGCCCCCGCTCCCGCCACCGCCGCGCCCGCCCTGTATCGAGAAATAATCGCCGCACGTGAATAAACGATCGAAGCGGCGGAACGTGCTCGAGGGTGGAGAGCGGTGAGCGGGGGCGGGGGCGGGGGCGGGGGCGGGGCGGGGGCAGCCGAGGAAGCGGGGCGGTGGGAATCAGGATCTGGTCGGCGAAATAAAGCCAGGCAATGCGGATGGAGGGTTGTAATCGGATGGGGTATTGCAATCGGGAATATCGAGCAGGAAGTGTTTAAGTAAGGTTGCGATATCCAGCGGAGTGTCATGGTGTTCAAGCCAGAATCAGGATCTGGTCGGATTTTGAATGAAAAATGAAGATGAGCAGATGAGAGAGTGAGAGTGGGTAAAAGGGGGTGAGAGAGAACGAGAGAAAGACATTAAAAGAGTGAGGGTTAGCGAGAGTGAAAGGGGGGGAGAGAGAATAAAAAGGAAAAGAGAGGGATGGATCAAGAGAGGGAAAGACAGAAATAGTGAGAAAGGGAGCGAGCGAGAGGGACAGAGAGAGAGAGAGAGAGAGAGAGAGAGAACGAGAGCGCGACAGAAAGAGGGAAATCGACTCAAATTACAGAAAGGTGAGAGAGAGAGAGAATGAGAGAGAGAATGAGAGAGAGAGAGAGAGCGGGAGAACAGAAAGAGAAGAGAGTCTGGAAGTAGTCATGCACAATCGGATAAGAAAACAGTATGATGCGGTGTTAGTTGCATTGATATTTCAGAGTGCTGAAAGAGCTATGATCGTTGGCGCCTGGAGAAGCGAACGACAGGGAATACGAGCACGCATCGCGTGGCCCATTGCTTAGGGCCCTGATTCAGTATGCACCTGAAAATTTTCTGGTAAAGCCTGTCAATCACTGATTGGAGCGGTTGGTAAAATAACGATTTGCTTTACGGTAAGCATCACAAACATACATAAAGAATTTAGGTGTTGTGGTGCGTTATCCTTGGCATTTTTCATGAAATAACTATAAACGTTGTCATTGCCAACAATAGTATTTATTACAAGAGCAGCTTTCGATGGCTTAGCCATCATCATCAGTTGTCTGCTGATGGAAGCCACAAAAACGACTACCTGATAAAAAAATGTTTGGCAAAGTGAGATTTACAGGTGTTGTGTTTCCAAGCATGTATGTTCCTTGATTCTGGTATTAAAGGTTCTGCCTGTTTGACCAATATATTTCGCT